AAATTAATTAAAAAAACTCTAGTATCAGTATTTGTAGTTGCATTTTTTATGCTAACATTGCAGTATGAATTTCCTCAGCTAAGTTGCTAAACTTATTTTTAAACACAAATTCTTCTTATCCCTGATGAATTTCCAAAGTATGCTCACCTGTTAAAAAAATAAAAACTCCACCATCTTTGTTTCTCTAATCAGTTCACTGTCGGCATATTGAACTCTGGATCCTCGGCCGCTGAGGGTACACAGACACATCCTCAGATTTCAAGAGGTTTGTGGGCCGCATGATGAGGAGTCTTCGAATTGGGACAATAATCAGTGCAGGGCAGTGACGTTTGCAGCCGACAAATGTGCACTCATGAGAATGTTGCCCAAGAATTGAGACACAGCCTAGACTCTCTCTCATGTGAAAGCCACACCTTGATGATGTCATCGTAGTGTGACTATTATGCTACGGTAACCAAGGAAGGATAAAAAGATATTAAACAGAATAACAACAAACCTARATTAATAACAAACTTGGGCAAGCTTGAAGGCAATATACASGGTCTTTTGTACAGAATGAATGTGATAAAAAGGACTAATTAGACTCCATAGGATGATTTGTTTGTTAYCTTTGTAGAGACCTAGTAGAGTTTATTGTTTCATTTGAATTCCCATTAGCTTCCACAGCAGTGGTTGCTAGTCTTTGAGTACTGAATAAATGTATGAATGGGTAAATGAGMACACAAATTGTAGTATAAAGCGCTTTGAGTGTCCTGGTTGGATAGAAAGGTGCTATATAAGTACAGTCCAGTTACCATTTATTATATATCTTGTAGAATATAGAAAAATTCAATTTCTCTTTGAAATGTTTACAATTGATTTGTCAAAACTAAAATGTATTTTCAACAAATACTGTATCTATTACCACCACGCTTGGGCAGAACTTTAAATTGTTAATTTCCTWGGAGCTTTTTGAATGGGTTTTAGGTTTTGTTTTTATTGCAGATAAATTTACATTACAATTTGCATTCATTTCTAAAAGAGAAAGAAAAATGACACAACAATCAACATGCTTGATTTTATGTATTGTTTTTAATAATYTGAAAGTGGATTCATATGTTCATCACATCATGCTCAGTAGTACAAGCAAACTGCAAATTGGAAAAAAGGAAAACATTCATTCTTATCATGAACCACTTGTATGAGACGTTACAT